GAAATTTTTTCTATTAAAAAAATCAACCATGACCCAGAAGTTTATTCCATTTCAAATACAGTAAACTTTTTTTCTCTTATTTAGGTACCAGTCAGAAGAGCTGATACCAATCCGGATTTCAAAAGAGCTAAATTGTACATTTGTGATGGACTTGCTGCTTCTTTCCGACGGTTCTGCATATCACTGTGCTAATCAACGACCTGACAAAGCTAGTCAACTTTATTCGTAAAAGAGCACCACGCGACAGAAATGAAATCTGCCGAAATTGCTTCCACACTTGCACTTCCAACGACATTCTACGTCGACATCAAGAAATTTGCTATCGACAAGATGGCATTGAAATCACGACAACGATCGACATGTGTTTAAAAACTTTGGTGCACGATCGTTTGTACCACGTATAGTATACTTCGACTTGGAGTCACTAAATGTACCCGTAGCTGGCCCAGAGCCTGACAACGAAAAATCTAACACTCACCTTATCGAAAAACACCAGAACTGTGGGTATGCATTCGCAGCTGTAGAATTTGGAAACCCCGAGGTGGTCAAGTTCGAGTTGAAAAGGGGACCTGACAGTATCGAACATCTGTTACTGAGCTTGGAAACGCTTGCAAAGGAAGTTTACATTGAAAAAGAAGACATTACGCGTTCACGGGGCAAAGAGAAACAAGAAAAGAAGATACATCCGAGTGCTGGATATGCGAATTGCCTTTTGCATGGGATGAGGCAAAGCTATTAGACCACTGTCACTATACCAACAAGTTTCTCGGGTGGGCACATAATACATGCAACATCAACCGCAAGACAACTTATTTCATTCCTGTAGTTGCCCACAATCTAGCAAACTATGACCTACATTGTATCATTCGAGCATTGAATAAAAGCAACCCACACAAAGCAACCCACTCTTTCATACCGAACACCGAAGAAAAATTCATCTCAATAATCAAATCGGTATGGATCAAAACGTTCTACGATAAAAGTGGAAAAATTAGAAATGTGTCTGAGAATCTGAGATTTATCGACTCCTACAAGTTCATGCAATCTTCCTTATCAACGCTCGTTAAAAATTTACCACCTGATAATTTCAGTCTATTGGAAAATTTCTTCAAAGCAAAAGGACACTCAATGGAGAAAATCGATCTTTTGAAACGAAAAGGGTTCTACCCCTACAGCTACATTGATAGCTTCAAGAAATTCAATGAACCGCGATTACCCGCCCGAAGACTGTGAACGAATAGCCTAGCTGGCGGTGAGGTCAGTGTAGATTGATCAGAGTTCAACCATGCAATCATGGTATTCACTAAATTCGGCTGTAATTCAATTGGTGACTACCACGACCTGTACCTCTCTACCGATGTGCTGTTACTTGCTTCTGTGTTCGAAGCTTTTCGATCCGTGTGCTATGAAACATATGGAGTCGATTGCGCGCACTATTATACCGCAAGTAACTTGGCGGGGGATGTGTTCCTTAAAATCTGCCGAGCAGATCTTCGATTGCTAACCGAGCGCGACCACCTTCACTTTGTAGAGGGGATGATTCGTGGTGGAATGTCGTCTGTATATGCCCGAAAATACTGGAAAGCCAACAACCAGTATCTTGACGACCACGATAAAAATGAGGAAAATTCGTTCATCGTAAACATCGACGCAAATAATCTCTACGGAGGTATCATGCAAAATTACTCGTTGCCCTTAAACGATTTCAAATGGGCGGACGACTCGGTGGATATACCTAAACTACTACTGACGGAAGAGGATAGTGAGTAGGGTTACCTAGCGCAGGTAGATATCGAGTTCCCCGACGAGCTCCATGACTACTTCAAAGACTATCCTCCCGCGCCATCAAAAGAAATGGTGCAGATAACAGTACCGATCAAGTGGAAATGATGGGCAAATTAGGTATCACCAGTCTACCCAAAGTGCCTAAGCTTATACGGTCTCTACAAAAAAGTCAGGATATATTTTGCATTATCTGACCCTTCAGCTTTGCATACAATTAGGTGTGAAGGTGACTCACCTTCATAGAGTGCTGCAATTTCGACAGTGTAAATGGGTGGCCCCTTTTGTACAGATGAACACTGAGCTAAGAAAGAAGGCTAGGAACATTTTTGAGGAAAATTTTTATAAGCTCATTATAAACTCATCTTTCGGCAAGACGATGGAAAGTAAACGAAACAGAACAAAAATGAGTATAGTGCGTAACGAAACCGAGCTACTGCAAAAGTTGTTCCAGAGCTCATTGAAGTCATTCCAAATTATACCTTGCTACAATAACATTCAATCCGAGCTCAATCCGGTGGGATAAGCCCACAATCGTTGGCGCAGTAATATTACACATTGCAAAAAAATACATGTTCGAAACCCACTACGTGCAAATGAAGCCAAACTTTAATCTCGAGCTATTGTACTCCGATACTGATAGCTTTATTTACATGATAAAATGTGACGATATATACGAGGAACTAAAAGAAATGGGACACTTGTTTGACATCTCGAACTATCCCAAACAATCACCACTGTATAATAAAACTCACAAGAATAGGTGCTAATGTTCAAGGACGAGATGGGTGGAGACTTGATAGAAGAATTTGTAGCACTCAAACCGAAATTATATTCTCTTAAACTCTTAAGTGGTAAAAATTAATCAAATTCCAAAAACCCAATGACTGAAAATGTAACTAAATTTGGTTGGCACCTTTAATACCTTTCTCAATTTCCTTTTTTTTTTGCTTTTATGATAATTTGTAGATTGCTTACATAAACAGAGCTCGTTTTTAAAACTAATATCTGTTTTTTTTTGTTTTAGATAGGAGCAACAAAGTCTCAGCGAAAGGAATCTCTTGGTATGCACAAAAACAGCTGACACATGATCGCTTTAAGGACGCGCTATTCAACCACAGAAAATTTCGAGTTAAAAACACGAGTATCAGATCGAAAAAACACGAGCTACAAACTGTCAACATAAATAAATTAGCGTTAACAGCTTTGGACACAAAGAGATTGCTCCTCGGTGACCTGGTAACCTGTTTACCTTTTGGTCACTGTTGGACCCGCGAAGATGAATTTAATAACCAATTTTTACTCGACGACTGGGATGGTAGGTTAGAAAATAACCCTTGTTCTTCTTCGAACACCATTTTCGATAACTTTAATACACAGCCATTTCAAAGGGAAATAAATATTGATGACTCGGACTGGTCACCGCCAGACCCAGGACTGTATAACAGAAGGAAATACACTAAGAAAGAATTGCGCGAAGATTTGGCTGACAGTTCTAAAACTGTAGATAAACCTTACCCAAACAATCCTTACATTGCTTTCGAGGCTCAAGAAGAACGTGACAGTACTATGGCGGCTGACGGAAATAGCAGTGAATTAGATAATACCAGTTCGGAGAGTGCAAATAACTCTCCAGTAATTGCCAAGAAAAGTAAAAGGGTTTTAAACCGCTCCCAATTAGACAATGATTAATTAACTAAAATAACTTTTTACATTTCATTTACCCCACTCTGATTAATATTTTGCTTGTAATATTTGTAAAGCTGAATTTGCAAAAAAAAACCATACCCAAATTTATATTTCATTTGTAAAATAAGCTCATTTTAATTTGCATACTTGCCACAATCAGTAATAGACAATTTGTTTCTAAAATTTTTCCGGTCTAATTTGAGCAAATACCACTTATCTTTGTTTCCAATTAAGTTCTACTCGCCGCTATAAATTCAATAAACAAAGGCAACGGGAGAAATTTGATTTAGCCAAGCAAAGTAATTCCAAACACCAAAATAGAATTCGAAGCTGGAAACAAGTGTTCCAGCAAAACTAAAGGGAAATGTTAGCGGTCAGTGACGGCGTCAAAATATCATGCATTCTGAAGGAATGAAAGAAGGAAAAGAAACATGAATGTAAAAGGACTGAGAAAATGAATGTAAAAAATTAAGGATCCTACTTTAATTATCCGCCAGGGATCTAGAAATTTGCTACATGGGTATATGACTCTTGGTAAAATCCTCAGGGGGGAGGCCACCCAAAAACTTGGATCCTCAAGTGAGGATCTTGTAATCCACCAGCAAAATGCCGGCTGACTACAAGATGATTTTGGACCCCTTAAGTGTCGGATCTTAGGCGCCCACGTCTTATTTTAGGTGATTTTGCTCCCCCCCCCTAAGGATCCCTGGCGGTCCCTCATACTACTTATATAGGTCTTGCTGATTTTTTTTTGTTTTTTTTTTCAGGAAAAGTCTTTAGTCTCTATTAACTACAGCTGTTTATTGATACATATTGATGAATTAATTAATGCACTTAAGTATATATGCACTTTTGAGTTCAATTGACATCCATCTGCTGAAGTTAGATAATTAGCACTCTCCAAATACGAACGTGATTATGGCGTGAAAAAACGAATACGGTTTTTAGTTTCGAAAGTCGAATTTAATTTTTGGACTTCAGCGGAAATAAAACAGTTTTTTTATCCAGTTTTGTCAAGTTGGGTTAATTTTATTAAAAAACCGCCCATTATTTTTCGCTCTAGACATTTAAAGTCCGTAAAGGGCATCTATTTTTTTCTTTGAAATTCGGAAGTGGAGTTTAATGTTTAGATTTGCAGCGGAATAAAAAATTTACCAATTGATCCAGTTTTCTCAAGTTGGGTTCATGTTATTAAATAAGCGCCAATCATCAATTGTTCTAGAAATTAAAAGAGCTTAAAGAGCATTTAATTTTTTCTTTGAAGTCCGAGAGTTGAGATTTTTTCAAGAGAGTCAGTGTTTTTTATGTTTACTTGCGTTCATTACTCTTCCAATCTTCGATTGGCTATTTTCTTCTTGACTAACCAATTGAACGATCTCCGCCCTTTAAAAATCGGAAAATTTATGCTGTGAGTCAACAAACAAATTTCTTATTGGCTGAAAAAAAAAGATTTCAATGACGTGAGCGATCTCTAATTTTTGATATGTTTGGGGCATGTTACAAATTTTATGTTTTTGTGTATGTTTCAGGTGCAGTGTCTTCTTCGCTCTTTTCTCAGGGACTGTATAGGATCAATGGCTTTCTCTCAACTGACCTCCCCTTTCCTAGACTGTCTTCTCCTCCACATCCTCAGTCTCTACAACTTCCACTGCATCTCTCTTCTACAGTTACAACAGACTACCACTATTGTACAGTGCCTCAGGGCTGATCCAATCACTTTCCTACCTCTCATATCCTCACACACCGCAAATCAGCAACCGCCATCAAATTTAAACTGACACCAACCTTTGTTCCGAACAACAGCGCTTACTCGACTGAGCAATTTTGATCCAAGTGATTCGATAAAGTTAAAACTACTTTCTACTTGCATGATTTGCATATCCACATGCGTCGCAAATCATCAACTTGAAACTGACGATCCACGTAAAGTAACGACAATCGTGAAATGAGCCGTAGGAACAACCAGCACTCAAACTGGCTAATTTAGATCTAAGCTTACTCGATGAAGATCGAACTACTACCCACTTATCATATCTGGAAGCAGCACAATTCCTCAACTACCATTTGATAGGACCATTTTGCTCCTAATTCCAACTGCCTTTAGTCAACTGAATAATTGTCAAGAATGGATCAAAGTGACTCGATGAAGTTTACGATTCCTGTCGACTTATCACGATTCCTCATCCATCCACTAAATGAGAATTAACGACAAATGTGGATTGAATCTCACACTAGGCCTAAAGTCAACTGTGTAATTTAGATCAATTATTGTGAATTGGCGGATTTATTTCCACAATTTTGATACCTAGACAAATCAAATGTTAAGGCCAAATGTTACTTTGAAACCGACGTTCAGAGTCGACTGACAGAACTACTGGCATGTGATAATATGCACGAAGTGACTCGAAACGAAAACTTTTAAAGTACTTCCCTATCTTCATGACGCCACGCCTCCTCAACCTTAGCAACCTTGCCAAGCAGCAGTAATTTGTTTCAAATGCCAGCGCCGAAAAATATTTGATTGCAAAAAAATTGATCAAAGTGAAGATCGATTAGTTTCCTGCCGTTCATATCTAAATAGCTAGTAAAAAACCTCCTTAAAAATGAGTGGTTAAGAGTAAATTTTCTCAACAAATATGCTTAAGCTAACATGGCCATTTTGCTTTTATTATAAGCTCTGTGATACACGACGTGGAAGCTAAAATAATGAGAAAAAAACTATTCTGTAAACGTGATTAATTTTACTCAGGCCATCTCAAGTGCTCATTTTGAACCAATTTTACTAAGCGATCTTTGCTGGTTGATTGCTTAGCAATCTATCCTAAGTTATACGCCTCACATAAGAGCGTCAAGTTTCTCGAAAAAACTTAACAATAGTTAGAAAAGAGTATGAATTAATGAGCTTGATAAATATGAAGCACAGGGTTATTAGTTTATATAATTGAATCGAAAAGCTTAAAGAAATATACCTATAATGGAAGGGGTTCCAGTCCTATTTTTACTTTTATATTTTTTCTTCGTTCTAAGGTTGATGGTGGGGTTGAATTCTCGTGTCAAGCTTCAGTAGGTCCTTTCTTCTGAATCGTCTTGTGAGTATTTGCCCGGCGATCTTCAGTCTCTGGTTGGTGTGTTCTTAAAGGTCTCGATTTCTTTCTGATCGAATTTTAAAGGAAAAAAAACTGAGTTCTTTTTTTTGCAGAAGACTAACTTCATAAGATTGTAAAAACAGAAAAGAAAAATTTAAGTTTTAAGGAAAACTGAAGTTTAGAAAATTTAAGTACTTGCTGCTGAATGAGCAAAATGGAACACTGAAGATTTCCGGCCAGTCCCTTTGCTCGTAAGCTTTAATCGGCGGCTGATTCCTATCAAAACAATCAGGTTTCACTTCCTCCTAATTCTCTCTTCATCATAAGGGAATTTTCGACTAGGTTTTATTTGATTTTTTATTTCAAGTCTAATATCCTTTATTTATTTATTTTTTCTTTTGAATAAAACCGCAGCCTTCAGTTCGATCTTATTAAAAGTTCATAGTCTTTCATCTGATGCATAATATTCTAGGTCTTGAAAATTAGGTGATTTTCAAAACAAGATTGTATAATCTAAATAAGAATAAATCGGTCAAAATCTTATTTAATGAATAGAGGCTTTTATTTAATTGGCACGCTTTAATTTCGAATTGGGTCGTTAAATAAACAATTTGCACAATGTTCCTTTGTCCGTGTAGTATTTACAGTACTACAACTTACATCTTTTTAAAGAAAAATAAGCTGTTTGATTCTTACAGTTACCATGATGAAAATTACACGCTATAATGATTAAATACTTTAGTTAAGAACATTAAAAAGAACATCAAATAAATAACATATGAAGATAAGTTAAAGTTAAAAGATACAAATAAAATATGTTTTTTTTTAAAAGAAATTGCCCTAGACTTCCTTTCCATTTTCTAACTCCATGTTGTACGACCTCAGGATCGCTATCTTCCTCTTCGATGACCCTGTTTTTGTTGCAGTTTCGCGATCTTGTTTCTTTTTCTTGATTTTAAGGGTCATCCGGCTCAGTCCGTCTGCTAATTCCTCATTTTCTATCTGGTTTGAATATGTTTCATTTCTCTCAGTTTCATTTGTCTTCACAGGGAAAGCAGTTATTCCCTCAAATGGAATCTTTATTTGTGCTCTCCCTGCTCTCAATACATAGCCAGTTTCCCGTCATTATTTTCTCCTCCAGAAGTTACTTTCTTCCTTTAATTTAACTTCCTGTCCAGTTATCAACTCGATTGGCATCATTACCCTTTCCATTGTCGTCGAGTTGACAACTTCGACAAAGGTTGGCATTTTCCACCGGTTGTAATTATTTTTAATAGATTATTTCAGGCTTGTCATGAATCGATTTTTAATGTTTCTAATTTGAGCTCTCTCTCACTCTTTGGAGATCCAATTGTTCTTTTAAGTTTGGGAAGCTTGTTGGGTCTTTTTTTAGCCCGTCGTAGATTGACATAATGGAGGGATAGACAGTTGAGTTTAACTGTCTCTTCTTTCGGAGAGGCAGTTTCGTTTAAGGTTGATCGGGAGCGGGGTCTGAGCTTCTGCAATTCCAATTCATTACTGGGTCATTTTCCATTGTGCTTGAGATCAAACTAAATTCATTAATTTTTTCAAAATTCCGATTGTTTTTCGGACTCTAAAGCTTATAATCAAAATTAAACGTTGAAAGACAATTATAAAAGTTGAACGTTTTATAGATAGAAAATGTGAAAAGTTTAGTATTGGGGTTTTACACGAACCCACCACGGAAACAAAAAGAACAAAGACGGTCCTGGTGTTGATATACCTCAGGAAAAAAACCGAGACATTTTTAAATACCGAATTAATCTCAGATATGAAAGTTTGATGTCGTAAAATCAAAATGGAAATTTGGACATTAATTCACCCCTAATCTTAGGTGTATGTCCATATGGGATCATCCGCAGGATCACCATGGGTTCTCGTTTTATAGGAAAAAAGGACTAGAAAAAACCGGAGGGGGTAAACTTTATATATAGCATCAATAAAAAAAGTTTTTTTTGTCTATTGTTAGAACTGAAAAAATATATGACTATGTGGTTGGGTTTTTGCAATCTTGATGCCTTACCATCTCGGAGGAGTGTAGAGGAATTATAATTGGATATTTTGTTTGCGCTTAAGGAATAATTCCAGGGGTCGGAAAAATCATAAGGAATTTAGCATATTGGGCAAAGTTTAGCTGTAGAAGGGAGGCTTGTTGTGCAAATGGTGATTTTTTGATGGCAATCAATAAAATGTCGGTTACCTGCCATACTGCGGGTTTGAGTGTTTCCCCATTTTGCACTCCTAATCATTTTTTTATATATACTACAGGGGGAATAATGGGACAGCGATCGGTATAATTTGGGACCTGGCCAATTGGGCATAAGATTTTTCCATATTTGGAGAAATGAGCCAGAATTTGCTAATGACAGTCTAAACAAATGAAGTGGGGTGGATGGCGTGATTGGTTACTATACTAATTCTTGATTTAAGATTTTAATAAAAAACAAATCGGGCATTCAAGAGTGGGCTGGCTGATAGTCTTTTGAAAGTACTGTAGTTTTGGTTAGGAAAAATGAAGACAGTTTGGAATGAAAAATAGCAATCTTGGAAGATTTTACTCACAAAAATTGGTAAGCTCATCGAATTCTAAATGTTTTGGGGAATAAATTAATTTATAACACGGTTAGAGGTAGAAAAGTTGCTGTTAATAACATCTTCGTTGTGGAGGAACGCTTTTATAATTTGAATATAAAACCGGCTGCTGCTTTAAACGGTAAATGTTTCTTCGTCATGAAAGCCGGGATCGTATCGAGTGCAAAAAAACTTAATTGTTGTTCATCTGGATGAACGTAGTTACTCAGGTGGACGGTTACCAAGCTTGGTAATTGTCCACCTGAGTGAGCAGATTGTCATCAAGGACAAAATCAATGTCCATTACCAAGCAGAACATTTTATTCAACTTCCTGAAGAAACAGCATAAATATTTAGCCATTTTTGATTGCCTGTACAGGTGTTACTATCAATAATTTTTCCTAAAATTAGGGCGTAAACATCCTGTCGGCATATTAGGCATGAGAATTTGTCGAAAATCAACTTAGTTTTGGACTTCAGAGCCTATAATATCTAGTACAAATAAAATGAATTGGTTTTGGATTTTCCCTTCAGCGGAGTGTTCCCCAATTGAATGGATGTTTTTAATTCGAGACAAACAGGACAAGCGTTTACCATTGTATTAAAGGAGTTTATGCCCAAAACTCATCAAACGCAATTTTTGGAAAAATAGATATGGCAGATGTTTTTGCTTTTATTAATGTAATTATTACACTCAGTAATATAAGGGCGTTTAACTATCATATGTTCACCCTTTCGCTTATTTCTGATTAACTTTAAGTGGTTGCAGATATTACAGACATCAAATACTGTCATCTTAATAACATGAATAATCTGCCTGCATATGGGGCAAGGAATTTTTGCGAATGGTGATTTAGGTCTTAGCTTGAGTTTATTATCACAATTAACGCAAACTAATTGTGGTGGTTGTGAAGGTTTTGATGCAATTTTTTTGTTTGATCACATATTTTTAAGAAAATGGGACACTCACTTTTCATTTTTACTGCTCATTCAATCTGATCTACATCGCAGGAAATGGGAATTGTTAGGCTATTTGCAAAACATAGTATTAAATTCCAGTATTTGCTGGTTGGTTTAATAATGGTGCTGTGGAGCTCATCATTATATTATGTTTCGAAATGTTTTATAAAAACAGGGATTGTTTTGAAATTTTCGGCGAAGATGAAGGAGCGTTGGAATCCTTTGATTCAGACTACCGTTCCTTCGTAAAAGCTTATCATCCTGATCTACGGCACAATTAACATATTCATTGTTCGTAGTACAGGATACTGGGTGGTCAGATACAGAAAGAAAGAATGAACAATATCGGAAGTTGTATAAATACTGATTTACTCAAAAGTACTCTTTGATGTGTCGGATATTAACTATCATATATACTCGTAATTGTAGTTGTAATTGAAATGATTTCTTCATAAGAGAAACTGAAACTGGTTCGTCGTTTATATTAAACATCCTCTTTTCTAATTAGAAAAGTAAGAGGGTTTAGAAAGAACTCTGCGTATGTATCGACAGCGAGAAAATAAGGGTGTTTTCCTGGAACTGTGTTTATAGTCGATATAATGGAGTTAACCTTACCTACATGTAGAACATGAAACTGTTCAGAGTTTATTCTACTCTCAATGAGAGAGTAACATAAGTTTGGTAGCCTAACAAACAGGTTACGGGAGGTTAGTGAAATCATTTGACTTGAAAACGTCTGTGTTTCGGCAAAAGGTTGAAACAAGTATTCGACAAAGCTAGAAAAAACTTCCAATACGGCGAGTTGTGGAAGACTTCAATTGTTCTGTCTTCTCATGTATTACAATAATCGAAGTATACAAAAAGTTTTGGACAGAATGACGCGTTACAGGCGTCGAAAGGTTTTTCTATTTGGTAAAGGAGTACGTGACGATTGTTATGTTTAAATAAAATGAGTTTTGTGCTCACTTTTTACGCACAAAATAAAATTCCTTCACAAGCAATTTCGATTATGACTGAGTTTTTATACTTAATGGTGTGAAGAATAACTTTGTGT